AATAATAAATGAGCAACTTTTTAAATTATTAATAATTCTAGTTTAGTCATTTAATCTTACACCTCAAATGAATTTTAAATATTAACATGATGAATAACTTTAACCAAGTTATTGACAAAACTTTCAAGAACTAACTGCTAGGTACATTGGTTGTTATGCTGATACTTGGACTCGAGATTTGAGCTACATGGTGTTAAACCTTCAAGTGATATCTCTTGATAATTGTTGGAAATTGTGTTACCAGCTCAATTACACTGTTTTCTCAGTACAGGTCTGTTTTTATTTTTTAACAACGTTAAATTGTCATCAAAATTTTAAAAATTAGGTTGGTTAATGAACATCAACATGAGAACATATTGTTGTAAATTTTTAGCCTCGTTAACTACCAACAACGATGTTATAACATCAATGGTTTCTATATTTCCACCACCAGTGTTGTGGCTTCCAACGATCGTCAAGAGTTCGTTTATTCGTAGGTTCAAAATTTCTAATAGATGAACACAACTGCTTCAAACGCAAATTTTGTTGAACATTTATTTGAATACCACCATAAATGTAAACAATAACTACATAAATCACATTTACGACTTCGCTTTCTCTGCTTGAAACCTCGCTTGTAAACCCGACTACTGAACCTCAATACGTAAGACGTATTTATAGCCAATTTTTAGTAAAGATACAAATTTACAATTTCAAATATAGTAAATCTAACAACACTCAAATAATAAATAATATTGTGCAATTCGATCCTTCCCATGGTTATAACAATTATATATGTAACGATTTAAAGAGCTGTAGCTCAATTTAAACACACCAAGTTAACAATATTACAGTTGAAAAAGGCTTGTTCAAAATAAAGCTTAAAGTCTGTAGTGTCATTGATGTTTTCTATATTTTATTTTAGTTAATGCCTATTGCCAAATTTACCGAGAAAAATACATTTGAACCACAATATAAAAATGAAATAATTCTACTATAACAGAAAAAAAAGGAAAAAGATGTCCAGATACCATAAGGTCAAAAAATATACACATATACCCACATATATATATACACACACACATATATATATAATCATGCACCGATATCCTCCTGGGTCCCAGACGATAAAATAATATGTCCAATTACTCATATATATATATATATATATATATATATATATATATATATATATATATATATATATATTAGGAAGAAGACCAAGTTCTATACAGTTGTTCAAAAAATATAACAATATAAACAAGTTAACTTGTTAATGCTGAATCGTCGGTGGATTTTTTGAACAACTATATATATATATATATATATATATTTATATTTATATTGTTATAATACTCGCTGTCGTAACCGATTTACGATGCGAGGGGTTCAAATCTTCGATTGAATAAAATACTCCAAACAGTTATTAGTTATTAAACTTTATTTACAGAAGAAATCAACTAATCGTTTATTTCCAGCAAATTCAAACTAACGCAACAATTAACTTTTAAATTGTTCAAAATCTATCGCTATGACAACGTCAACAAACAAATCAAATTTCGCTTTAAATAATTCACCGAATCGCTATTCACAAAATCACGAATTCACAATCGCTGCGC